ATGAAACTGTGGTACACATAAGTGAAACAAATCACATGACAAGCAAGCCAGACTAAATGGGATTCAAATGTAGATCTTTCTGGCCACACTCTTATCACCACAGCATTCTATCTCTAAGGCAAGCAGAAAACATTTGCCAAGCAGTATTCCTTTTATCATTTACAAGCACAAAGTTTTCAATTTCACCCTTCATTCATGCCATATATATCCAGCATACCACAGCTTCCTAATTCCTTTTTTAAAATAGAATCTCTTCTTGCTTGAGAATTATTAAACTGCTTCCTGGAGTCAGAAATTTTTTTTTTTAATATTTCTTGTTAAAAGTTGATTTTCATGTGAAGCATGCTGTTGTTGCTAAGTGTTATTCAGCCAATTTGAATTCACATGACTGTGTATAGGGTTTCTGAGGACTGGGTGTGGGTTTGAACCACTGACATTGCGGTTATGAATCCAGTGCTTATCCTACAGTGCTACATCAGGACTACATATGAACAAATCTTTATAATAATAGAGTCAAAGATTATCAATTGAAAGTGATCTTAGTTGACATTACAACCAATCTTTTCACGTATGGATGAGGAAACAGACTTAAAAGTTGACCTTGTACACCTTCACACAGATCTTCTCAAAGCTAGGACTAAAACCTCATGTTCTGACTTTCCAATCCTTTTCTAATGCATTATGTTATGCTCCATAAAGCCTATCTCTGGTGGACTACTGACAGATCTGTACATTCATATGAGGGGCTATTAACTTAGCTTACATCTCTACTCAGGCCATAAAAACTGGAGAGTTGCAGTTAATATTCTTATGCAGCAGCATAAGAGAAAATTAATAGAATCCTGGAATATATTAGAAATTAAGGAGCCATAGAGTCTTCTTACTAGAAGTGCAGATTCCAGGACCAACAACCCTGGCATCTGTCTATAAATGCAGAATTTTAAGTCCCACCCCCAAACCCACTAAATCAAAATCTGAATTTTAATACGATTTCATATTATTTCCATGCAAATTAACATTTCAGAAGTATTGCCTTAAAGAACATTCATATTTAATGAGAACATGTGATCAGTTTTAGAATTTCCAGACATGTTTCAAATGGGCAATATTTAGAGTTCATTGATTGGATTAATCCGTGAATTGACATAATGCACTATCTCCATGATAAATGATCTATTTATGACCATTTAATTATAAAAATTATGTAGTGCAATTGATGAAGAAAAGCAATAAATCCAGGAGTCCAGATGACCCTCCTTCTAACTCAGGATCATTGGTCTTCTTTGAACTCAAGCTAACTGTACTCTTAGTATTTAGAGGGTATATTTTTAGAAGTAGAGTTAGCTTCTTATTTGTTGGTCGTATTGTACAGACTTTAATTGTCAACTTTTACTCATTCATTCAGATTTTCAAGGTAGGAGTATGAATTCTTCCATGTTTAAGTGGAATTTTGCTGCTCTTAAGAAGTAAATTTTAGTCATTTATAAACTGGTGCAGATTTCCATAGAACTTCATCTTAAGAAAATTCCCTTTTGGTGGTTCATCGAGTCTATTCTGACCCACAACAGCCGTATAAAATAGAGTAGATTTACTCCGTAGGGTTTCCAAGGCTGTAAATCTTTACAAAAAGTACACTGCCACATCTTTTGCTGTGTA